CAGGTCTCATAAAGGCATTTCACTTGGAAGAAGTGACAAGACTAGTGCTCCTGGGATTATATTTTGGTGCGAGACATGGAACACGTTTATAGAATGTAACTTCCATTTTCAATGTAGCTCTTTTTGACAAGAAACATAAAAGTCTAGGCCCTGTTTTTGAAGAAGCTAATTCAGTGGTATTTTCCATTAAAGGTTGCTGAATGCATTCTCCAGTAGAGCAGGCTTAAATCCAGTCTAGGCATTTGTCCACCATGCATCCTTTTGAAAATCCAGTATTTTCATGGAACTGTCTCATCTTATCCTACAGGAAAAATGGGATTCATTATTTGTGACAGAAACTGATGGAAAACAGCACCACCCAGGGACCTGTTAGGTCCTACTGCAACACTATTCAAATAAGTGTGCAGCAGCTATTCAACGAGTATAAATTCAATATAGCCTTTATTCATACTGTCAGTCAGGTGATCAGACTGGCCAACAGCAGGGATACTGCAGGGTTAAACACAAATCTAAAGTATATTTTAATTCTACTTACACACATACACACTAGAAGTGCTTACATCAGGCATACTTCATAGCATATCACTAATTGCTGATTAATTATATTTAGTCTTTACATTTATTGGACCCAGTTTTGGTTGCATCTTTCTACCTGTTTTCCTCATGATAAATCTTGTGTGGTGCCATGCACCTTTACAATTTACTGATTAATGAACTCCCCTATGCATGTATGGTTTCAGGCTTGGTCTTACCACCCTATATGCAGGCCGTACTGATTCCATCCATCTCCAGATATTCTTGAATAGATCCCAAATGTTCTGATATATACTGCTACCCTTCACAGAACTTCAGGCCTCCAAACTTTTAACTCTTCCTGCCTGCCTTCCTGTTTACAGGTAGTAGGACTCTAGTCTTGTCAAATCACCATGACAGTCACTGTGCCATTCTTGAATGGCAAGAACCATCTTATAGGTTCTCAAAGGCTGATTTTATTTGAAAGTACTGTACTTCCACATAGGGACACTACCACAATGGTGTTTCTATAAATCTGTTTTCTCCTTCTCTCTCCCCACTGTCTTCAGCTTTTTGACATGGATGATGATGGCATTATAACAGAAGATGAGTTTGCTTGTATTCTCCGATCATCTCTGGGAGTGCCTGACCTTGATGTATCTAAACTCTTCAAAGAAATAGATGCAGATGAAACTAGAAAACTCTCCTATAGTAAGTATTTACATAAAACTAATACACTTGCTGTCAACACAGAGCTTTAAGATTGCTACTCTAAAATGTATTGATTTCTGATTTTTTGAGGATTATAGGCCACTCTTACATTGTTAAAAGCAGGAATATATATGTTGAAGCATGGACCAAAGAGATGTATTAATATATTTCTCATTAAGAGAACATGCACTCTCACTGTCATTGGTTTCTATACCATCTGCATCAATATAACAGCGCAGCTTCTTATAGAAAGATCACCACCAAAAGCAGCCAAAGGACTAACTTCTTCTGTCCTAACCTTGAGCAATCACAGCTATATTTACTTATTTTTCTCTTCCCCTTCCACTTCTGTTCTACTTTAATTGTGGGTTTTATGGGAAACTGTTTGATACAGCAGGTTTTGCACTTTTGTTTTTTAAAGTAGTGCAGTTTCTGGTCTTTCTATTTGCCATAGTAGGAAATCCTAAACTATCTGCTAAATATCTGGTAAGAAACTAGTTTCACACCAGGTGAATTCCCCTTTTGGAGGTTCAGTT